TCGTTAGATATGCAGATTCCCAGGCCCACCTAAGACCTACTGAATTAGATACTCTGGGGCTGGGGCCCAGCAGTCCAGGTGGTTCTGATGCACGTGCGAGTTTGAGAAGTACTGGTCTAGGGACTGGGACTATAATGGTGATAAGACAGATAAAATTCCTGTCTCCTCATGAAGTTTACATCCCAGTGTGTGTGTGGTAGGGGGAGACAGAAACCTAATAACTGAATACAGTAATTTTCAGATAGTAGTAGGATCTATGAAGAAAAAGATCTATGTAGGACAGTGGAGAGGGGCTGATTTAGAACAGGTGGTCAGGGAAGAGATGGTCTAAAAGGAGACCAGAGTGGTAAGCAAGAGCCAGCCATGCAAAGAATTCAGGGGCAGAAAATAAATGCAGACACTCTAGACAGAGGGAACGGCAAGTGCAAAGGCTCTGAGGTAGGACCATGCTTGGCTTATATGAGGAGCAGGGTGACTGAGCACAATGAGCAAGGGGTGAGCAGGGGATGGGCTTCGAGAGGCAGGTGGTGGTAGCAAGCTCAGCTTTTGTTCTTAGTGCAAGGGAAAGGCAATGGAGAGTTTTGTAGGGACATGATCTGTTTACCTTTTAGCAGGATCCCTCTGGAATGAACTGTAGGGGGTAAGGGTAGATGCAGGGAGGGCAGCTGGGAGGATATTGCAATAATTAAGACAAGGAATGTTGGTGCTTGGATGGATTAGACCAATGTGCAAAGATCCATTATTAAATGAAAAACAAACAGCAATGCAGGACATTGTGCATAGGAAATTGTTTTTAAGCATACGCACATTCAGGAGTACAAAGACTTTTTTTCCCTTGAAAGGATCCAGAAAAAAAAGTTAATAGTGGTTACCTTTGGGGAAAAGGGGGTTAGTGATATACCTTTCAGTGTATTGTACATTTTTATGATGTGCACAACGCATTACTATTCTTTAAAGATAAAATATTTTAAAATAAAGATTGAAAAACTGAGATAGAGGGAAACATAAAAGAGAATAAGTGATGGGTGATCAATGTCAGAGAGAGGAAGCCCACCTCCCATGGGTGTGACCTTTGCAAGCATCCTGCCCACAGGGTGATAGAGAGTCAGGCTGACAGAGTGGTGTGACTCCTGTTCTTGTATTATAATGGGGACAGGGCGAGGCATCTTCCCACTGGAAACCGCTGGACCCCGTTTCAGCCCTGCAGCTCCGGTGATATTTGCGGTTATGAGGTCTCCTTGGGCAACTACTACAGTTTCCCGTGGACGTCTGCTGCATTTCCCTCTGCCTGTTTGTCAGATCTTTCCCCTCCTTCTTCTTGGCAGCTGGTTCACCAGGAGGCCAGCGTGCCCTTCATCTAATTGCATGATTGGGCATAAACAGAAGAAATCCTTCGCTGGAGGGAGAGAGTGGCATGCAGCGTCTGATTTCTCCTGTCAGCTGATGCGGATTTGTTGAGTCCCATCAAGGTCAAATGAGATTAGAAAGAAAATGCAGTGTGTCTGGTGTGCATTCCACCTAACTGTATCACTTATGTAAACAGGATGAACAAAGGAGAAATTTTACAGCAAATATTGAATGTCAGCTTTAAGATCCAAGCACAAGAAGCCAGGGTTTATATATGTTATACCTGGAGAGAAAGAAAATGTATTTATTGGGGACATGTTGAACCCTGCTGATTCTCTCATGCTCTGATTCTTTTTTCTTGTTGGTGCAGTTAAAAAGTGGTCATCTGCCCTGACCAGTTTGGCTCAGTGGTTAGAGTGTTGGCTTGCAGACTGAAGGGTCTCGGTTTCTATTCCAATCAGGGGCACATACCTCGGTTGCAGGATAGATCCCCACCCGGGTCCAGTGCAGGGGAGAGGCAGGCAACCAATCGATGTCTCTCTCTCACATCCATGTTTCTCTCTCTCTGCCTCTACCCCTCCCTTCCACTCTCTCTAAAAGTCAAGGGGGAAAATATCCTTGGGTGAGGATTAACAACAAAAAAATTTAAAAATGATTGTTTTATGTCCTGATTTTCAGAGGCACTGAGCCCAGAATAAGTAAAATCGTGGAAATGCCACATCCTCTTTTATTATCCTTCTGAAGTGCTTATGAGAGGGTTAGAGCCACTTTCTAAAATAGCAGCTGTGGAAATGCTCGGGGGTGAGTCAATCTCTTAGGATGCGGAAGGACAAAGTCTCACCTTCGGCAGCGGCCACATCTCAGACGTGGATGACTCGCCCAAGGCCACCCCTCTGTGGATGAACCTACTGGGCTTCTACTAGGACTTTTGTTGGTCCTCCAAATCTGTCCTTTTCTTCCTGGCTCAGACCCAGCCTCTGCAGCGCTAGCAGCCTTGATTATAAGGTTTTATTCACAGCAGAAAGGTCATTAAAAGTGGTCTCAGAACTTTGAGGGAAGATGGGGTTTCTGTTACATTCTGTGTATTGGGTCTAGCGTACTGTGGGTGCCTAATACATGGCTTCCACAGCTATTATTTCAATCGACTATTTCTTGGCCCGGAGCTGGAGCTATTCTGAGGCCAGACTTTTAAACTAGGCAACCTCCATGTCCCTTCCCACACTAAATAACCGTGAGGCCAAAAAGCATGAACATATTTCATGACTCAAATCATCTGAATGTATATTATTGAAAAGATAAATCTAGATACTTGACCTGGAAGTTGAAATAAATAGGGAACCTGAGGGATGTTAAACTGCAATTTTAAGAAATTTCAACACTGAAGAGAATTCTCTTACAGTAAATACTTTAAGGGCCCAAGGCGCCATTCTTTCCTAGCATTTGGACAGGATCATTTCTGAACACCTGATATGCAGTAAGGAAATTCACTTCTCTCTGTAGCGAGGGGGCGATCCTTTGCCCAAGAGCTGCGCAGTTTGTTTGTGTTTAACAGCATCTCGCAGCTGCACGAAATGGAGAAACAAAACTGCAGTAATGATTTACACTGCCTTGCAGTTTCAAGGTGCTCTCACACTTTAGCACGTTTGATCGTCACAATAATCCTGCCAGCTTGCAGGGAAGACGTGGTTATGAGCATCTTGTTAATCTCTGTGAAGAGGGAGGAAATTCCAAGTCCTGAAGAGCTGAGTTGCCCAAGAATGGTCAACCCCATAGAGTGGGCGGGTTCAAGGGTGTTAACCTGGTTTCAGGCACAGGGAGGACTTTAACCAGGGGTGCACCCTGGGGACACTCAACCTGGCCTCGGACTTTTTGGGTGTTTCCTCACTTAAAAATCTATCATTCCACGTGGTGAAAGAGTTAACACACACACACACACACACACACACACACACACACACACACACACCAATGCAGCATAATTCTCCAATATTGAGAAGACAATTATCCGAAATATTTTTATCTTTCTATCATTCAGAAGGCCCTTGGGAATCATGCAGAGACTCAGGGAGATTATTATTATTTTAAATCCTCACCTGAGGGTATGTTTTTCATTGATTCTAGAGAGAGAGGAAGGGAGAGAGAATAATCGATGCGAGAGAGAAACATTGATTGGATGCCTCCCATAAGCACCCCAACCGGGGATCGAACCCACAACCTGAGTATGTGCCCTGACGGGAATCGAACCTGCGACCTTCCAGTGCATAAGACAACCAACTGAGTCACCCGGCCAGGGCAAGATTATTATTTTTCTAAGTAAACTGTCAGTACCTGACTATGTGGAAGTAATTGGCAGTTCATGGAGGTTCCAGTTAATAAAGTTTGGAGAAACAACCTTTTTCTGCTCCTTCAGGTCCCTTTTAGGAGAGCTGCTGCTCATCACGATCCGAGTCACGTGATGGGTGTGCCTCTAGCTCTCTGTCACAGGAGGTGAGACGAGCTTCTCCGAGGCTCAGCCCTGCAGAGGGCACAGGAAAGGCTCCCCGGGTGACCCTGATGAGTGTGGAGGACAAGCTTCCACCTCCAGCTTCCCAGAGGAGGGAGAGGCCAGAGAGCATGTTTCCAGTTCCAACAGGTCAAGCTGTACCTGTCTATCTGACTCATCAGGTGGGGAGGCTTGCCCACACGCACGCACACACACAACTCTCACACTCACACCTCCCAGGCTCACATGAACAAGGAGGGGACGCTTCATTCTGTTTCCATTTGGTCTCTTCAAAGACACTTCCTGGTCCATGCCTTTCAGCCCATCTTCAGTCCCCACCTTTTAGCCAAAGAGTGATTTGCCGCTTCCTGCCTTTCTTACCCCATTCCTGGCCATGGCATAACGATGGTGTGCATGGTCCTCTGAAGAAATCCCCACCCCTGCAGCTGGGCTCACCTGACGGTCCGCCTGGTGCAGCAGGGACAGGCTTGACCACTGGTGCGGAATAGTCTCTCTGCAGCCCTAACCTAGATGGCCACTGCCTCGCGTGGCTTTGCAAAACATCCTCTGCAAGGCTTGGCTCTGGGAACGCCACAGACAGACAGACACACACACTCTGCCACACACAGACACCTACACCCTGTGCAGCGATGCCAGATGACAGAGCAGCCTTCTGATTCCAGAGAAGCATCTCAGAGCCGCGACTTCTGTTTCCCTGGCAACCGAGGCCTCAAAATAAACAGGATTCTGCTCAGACGGGCCAGTAGTCCGTTCAGTGCAGCCATTTGCCCCTAGACAAACCACGCTAAAACAACACCCGGATGGTTGCTGCCACTGTCTGCTGTCTCGGCCTCCCTTCCCTGCTGGCCAATAGCTCCGCGTTCCTGGGCCTGCTGCTAGCTGTCCAGAGTGGGGAGCGCTTAGAGCTCTGTGTACGTTTCTGTGGGTGGTTGTCTAAAGGCAGGTCCCCTCTGCTGATAAACAAGGCCAGGGAGAGACCCAAAGGCTGACATCTCAGGTCCCTCCGCCCCCCAACTGCCTCCCTGCCTCCCACACAGCCCCGTGGACTGGTAGCCGGCTCTGTGGCATGGTGTCTGGAGGCGGACCAGCAACCCGGTGTGCATGCCACGGCCCGTTCCCTCTCCCCACACAGAACTGCGGAGAGAGAGAGAGAGAGGGAGAGAGCGAGCGAGCCGGCTTGAGCCTGCCAGGGAAGCACTGCAGCGCAGTGACAGTGACAAACACAGCAGAGGACGCCAGGCGGATTCCCTTCCCCTCGGAGGGAGAGAGGCACAGCCCTCAGCCTGCAAGCCCTCAGGTAAGAATCAGGCTTCTGTTCTGGGGAACAAGAGCAGGTTATATCCAAATGTGAAGGTGTGAGTGTGTGTGTGTGTGTGTGTGTGTGTGTCTGTCCGAGTGCAAGTATAAGGCTCCATGGAGAGGGAAGATAAAAGGGGAAAATGAAGGCAGTACGATGTTTTAAGCAGATACCACTGCAAAGAGCATGCCTGCAGGTGAGCACCCAGGGGCTCCCCTCTGGCTGGGTGTAAACTGTGGTACAGACTGCTCTGGGGGGAGGGCCTGCCCATGGCACCGGCACGTAAAACCAGCACTTGGAGTTCAGAGACTGTCAAAACGATCCTGCACCAGGCTGCCCCATTATCTCCGTCCCCCTGCTGCCACGCCGGTGACTGGAGGGGGCGGAATGTTCTCATTTACTTAAAGTGCTGGATGCGGCCCTTGTGGTTGGCAGAGTCAAAAGCTGTGGCCTGAGCGAGTGACTGGCATTCTCCTGATGTGTCCCACTCACCCACTCGGGGAGCCTGGAAATTCAGCTGCCTCAGAAAGCTTGTCCACTGGGTGGGCGCCTTAGATTGTAATCAACCTGTTCCTATAAAACCAGGCTGACATGTAGGATTATCTGCATGTGTTTCGATAGGGTGGTATTCTGAGGGCCCCACCGGTCACCTGCATTACTTCTCACCTGGCCTTCTGATCTTCTGGGAAAATCACATCCTCATTTGAGATAGGCACTGGCAGAGAAGGAGCAGGAATGGCTAAGCCAGTGGGCACATTCTCTGGCACGTACGCCAAGCCACACCCACATCGCGATTACATGACCAAAGTATGCAAGGCTTCCAGACAGGAGCGCTCAAAAAATTCAGACCTCCGGGTGCTGGGGTGGGAATTCCAGGCATTTGACCAAGTACACATTTTTCGGAGACCCAAGAGGACAGGCGCCCACCTGATCCCACCTCTCAGGTCCAAGAGCTCTCTCTGCCCCAGCAGATCGCAAGCACGGTGCTCTCTCTCGCTGTGTCTATCCACCCCCCCTGCTGTGTCTTCCTTTCTGCTTTGGTGACTAGCACTTTCCCTTCCCTTCGCCACAGGGATTGGATTGTTTATGAGTTCACTCCACAAACACCAGTGGGAGGACACGAGCGTCTGGGCAGAGGGCGAGCCAGGCTCTGCGTGGGGATGAGCCAGCCCGAGGGTGGCCAAGGGCTGAAAAGAAATGGGCTTTGCAGAGCGGTGTCTAGCGAAGGGCTGGCCAGCTGTTTACTGGGGCCATTAGTGTGAACAAGTGTGGATTTTGGTTCAGACTGTGATTCATAGTCACAAATTCCCTTTTCCTTTGTTTTCTTTGTGTTGGTCATTGAGGGCTTCCTAGGAAAGTCCCCTTCTGAGATTGTGTGTCCGAAGGCAAGATCACTGAACCTGCTGCTGAGGGCAGCTGGCGGGCTGCCCTTCTCCTGCAGGGCCTGCCTTTATTACAGGAGTAGATGGATTTGCAAATGAAGTACTTGATCAACGGCGAAGTTAACACACACAAAAATGAAGGGAGAAAACACTGAGCTTCTTGTAAACTCCTCCTAAATCTGGTGTGCACTTACCCATATGTGGCTTGCCTGGTTCAAAAAAAAGGATTTAAGGGAGCAGAATTCAGTTAAGTGGCTTGAGTTTACGGCAGCACCAATCATGATGATCATATTTTCAGTGACGATGGTGGATGGACACCCATATGCTCCTTCCACGCCAGCAAAGGGACAGACAGACGTCTGATCCCAGGACAGAGTGTGTGCTGGTTCACTTTGCTGGCAAGCATTCTGCGGACCCTGAATCATCTACTACAGCTCATGAAGCAGCCAGCCCTGTAGTGCTAGCTTCCGGATGAGGGGTCCTGCAGAGTGGAAGGTCCTCATCTAACAGGCATGCCTGGTGAAGGCAATATCCTCGGTTTAAGATATGGGAAAAATAATATTCAGTCGTTTCTGCCACAGACATACCCTGGTTTAGGTAAATTTAACACCTATACATGACACATAAAGGACGGGAATGAGTATCTTTTCCTCAAGAAAGGATCTGTTAATCAACAAATATTTATTGAGTACTGACAAGGTGTCCCAACTCAAGATGTGACAGCATCCAGCCCACTCAACCATAGAGAAGGGAGGGGACCTACCTGGGAGAACGAGCTGGGCTGGCAGAATGTCCAACTCAGGTGGGAAGTGAAGGTGTCCAAGATATAGGAGTAAAGACAAGCACCGGGCCAGTGGCCTACAGGGAGAGAAGAGGGAGAGTGTGAATACTAATTATTTTGATTCCTAAATTTCATTATTTAAGAAAGGCAGCATAACATAGCAGCTGAGTGTGTAGATTTTGCAGCCAGACTCTATGAGGTTCAAATTCAAATTCTGACTCTTATTAGTTTGGTGACCTCGTGCCTCAGTTTCCTCATCTGTAAAATAGGGTAATAAAATACCAAGCTTGTTGTTGAAAGGACCAAATAAGTAATGCTCTTAGCATAGTGCCTAGTTTATAGTGATTACTATGTATTTGTTATTATTGCTTATTGTTGTTATTACTAGAGGCCCGGTACATGAAATTTGTGCATAGGTAGGGTCCCTAGGCCTGGCCAGCGATCAGGGCCAATCTGGGCCTTCCAGCTGCCAGCCAGGGCCTCCCTTCATTCTGCGCTGCTCCCTGGTGGTCAGCACATGTCATAGCAAGCGATCGGTCTACCAGTTGAACTCCCACGGGGATAATTTGCATATTAGGCTTTTATATATATAGATTATTGAAAGGTGAGCACTGAAAAGGCTGCCCACAGGTGGATTTGTTCCAAAGTCCAAAATGACACTCTGTGAGTGACCACTAGAGCCACATTTTGGGCAGCCTGGAGGTGCTGTGTGGAGATTTGCTGATTATCAGCATTTCTTGAGCCCTTACTTTGTGCCAAGCACTGCGCTTGACTTTACGTGTATGAGCTCACCAAATTCTCATAACAACCCTATGAAATAGGGGTGTTGTAGCTGCAGGAATTAAGGCTTGGTGGGCTGGACCATTTGCCTAAGGTCACACCGTTACCAAGTGGCAGAGCCACACCTCACACCAGGCTGTGTTCCTAACCGGTATGCCATCTGTGTTCTGGGGGAGTCACTGGAGGTGTCTTAAGAGGTAGGTGGAGTTTGGTGACAGGAATTCAATAGCAGATTATATTTGAAGATCTAGAAAGTAGGCTAGGATTTGAAGCTCTGCCTAGAGGTGCAGGACATCAGCTTGGCCCATGGGCAGAATCACCGCCTTGAGGACCTACGGCCTTTGGGACCAGGTCTTCAGGAACAAGACATGAATGCAGGCAAGGTGGCCTCAGGTCCTCCTGAACCAAGAAGAGAGGAAAGGGTGCCTAACAAGAGACAGAGGCACAGGAGTGCTGGGCCAGGGCTCCTTATCCCTCAGGCCTAAGGTCGGAGGTCATCTTGAGCTAAGCCTGAGGTCAAGACTGGATGACTCCAGTTATGGAGGGAGGAGAAATAGACAATCCAGAACTTAGTGTCTGGGTGCAGTGAAGTTTACACTGATATAAATGACTTGCCAATGCAATCCCTCAAAGTAGAACATTCAAAATGTGATTTACAGAAATTTGTTTTATGCATAATTGCTCAAAACCACTTCTCTGACTCCATCAGAAAGGCATTCCCACCTTGCACTAGGGCTGTGTAGATGTGGGGGTTTCTAGTGGACAAGACTCACCTTTGCCCCTCTAGGACCTGCGGTCCAGTCTGGGGGTTTTCAAACTTCAATGTGCATAAGAATCATACGGAAGCTTGCTTAAAAATTAGGTTTCTGGGTCCTGCCATAGAAGTCTTAATTCAGCTGGGTTCCTGAGGGACCCAGGATTCTGCATTTCCTGGGTAGGGGGAGGTGTCTCTGATGCTTTGGTCCACAGACCACCATTGTGGACGCCCAGGTCTGACAGTTGTTCTGGTTCCTTTGTCTTCATTACTGTTAATGAGAACACAGAGTCGTGTGGCCTGAATACATAGCAGTTAGCCTCTTCGTTGTCATCACTTTTGTCCTGAATTACCACTTTTCTTGGACTAGACCTCTACTTATAATAATAACAGTGACAGCACACCTACTGCATACTGAGTTATCATGTACCCGGCACAGCACTAAGCCCTTCACATATGCTATCCTCTCATTCCATCTTCACAACCATCCCATGAGTGAGGTGCTGTTATTATCCACATTTTACATGGGAGGGGAAAGGTCTGACTGCTAGTGACTGGCGGATCGGGGATATGAACTCAGGACTGGCAGATTACCAAGGCGCAGGTGTGCAGCCCCTAGACTAGTCTCTGAGAGTAGTTTTTGTTCTTTGTCCAGTCAACTCTTCTTTCTCACTTGTGGGTGTTTCTCCGGTTTACATTCCTAACTTGTTCACCCCGGTTCCCAGACGCCCATGCAATTTCTTCAGAAGATGACGTGTCCCTGTGCTTTCCTACTTTTACCTCATTCAGGAAGTCAAAAAGGATTGGGGCAATGGGCAGTGGGAGGTAGGTATTAGGGGTTGAATGGTGTCCCCCCTCAAATTCATGTTAAAGCCCTAACCCCGCAGTATTTCCGAATGTGACCTTATTTGGAGATAAGAGGTAATCAAGTTTACATGGGGCCATTAGGGATGCCTGGTGTCCATTTGAAAAGGGGAAATTGGGACACAGAGACACACATAGAGGGAAGATGACGTGAAAAGATGCAGGGAGAAGATGGATCTCTGGTACTTGTTATGGAAGCCCCAGAAAACTACTACAGGAGGAACCTGGGTTCTCTCTCTAGTCCCTCACTTGGGGGCGATGAAGTTGAAGGCCAATGCATTATGCCAAATTGTGGCAACTTTTCTTTTTCTTTTACTTTCAGTGCTTTTCTGTTGGCTTAAACAATGTTCTTTGGAGCTACAGGTAGGCCCAAGGCCTAGGAAGGAAGAAGGAATGAATAGAAAGGATGAAGAGGAAGGAAGGAAGGGCAAATAAAGAA